GCTGCGAAAAGGGGGCGGGGCCGCGGTCCACGCAAAGCCCCTCACCTCTCTCTGGACCGGCGCTCCCGCTCCCTGTCCCGCTAGCGAGGCGGCACCTCGGGCCCCGGCACCCGGGTCCTCCTCCCAGGACCCAAACAAAACCCTAGCGCCGCGGTGCCGGGACCCCGCTCTGCCAGGAAACAAGAAGTCTGTCGTCTATTGGCCACGGCTGCAGCTGGCTACCCGCCCAATAAAGCGCGCTGCCATTGGTCAGCGCCGTTCTGCGCACGTTAGCGCTACCTGCGCCTCTGCCGTTGGGGTCTGGACCGCTGGACCACCGTCCCGCCACCCGCGCGCGCTCCGGCCGCGTCTCCCGCTAGGCCTCAGGGAGGAGGCCTTCTCACGGAGGCGGGAAAGGCCAAGCGGCCGAGCGGGACGCCGGGAAAGACACCTGCGAATAAAAGGAAGCCAGCCGTGTGAAGCGGGTCAACGCCCACCGAGCCCCTCACCGCGCTGTATAATGTCGAACCTCCTACCCCGCCTGAAGCAGGTCTCCTAGTCGCCGTTAGGTGCCCACTAGTGTGGCACGCAAAAGTTAAGTGGAGGATGCGGGCATCGATCCCGCTACCTCTCGCATGCTAAGCGAGCGCTCTACCATTTGAGCTAATCCCCCGGCCGTTGCTGGCTTGCTTCTCTTTGCCTTACGGGTTGTTCTGGACTGTCAGTTCAACCTCAATTCGGGCTGTTTAGTAGAGTACAGTGGGATCGCTGGAGAGATTTTGAAAAGCAGACATATAATGATACATAAACAATAAACCTCAGTTTGCGGCGTAAGTCGATGCAACTTGGCATCTGATGTACAAACACCTTATAGCGTATGCTGAACACCGTGCACCCGCGCAGCGTCGTTGCGCCCGCCCCTCCGGGATGACCCTTTTTCCCCAAAGGGTGTGGGGTAATGCTAAAAAGACAATGAAGTCCTTCGAGCCGGAATCGAACCAGCGACCTAAGGATTGCTACAGTGATGTCAGCTACAGTCCTCCGCTCTACCAACTGAGCTATCGAAGGCCTCGCTACCTACCTCTTTTGCTGATCTCTTCTAATGTTCACCAAGACCGCCCTTTTCCCCCGTTTGGAGAGATTTCGAAGCGCTTGTCACCCGCTCCGGTTTTCATACAAGGAAGCCCCGGAGCCCTACGGGCCTCACAAAGCAGAGGAAACCCGAGTCAGAAAGAAACAGGAGACACACTGCCCAAAGCCCCGTTCTCAGGGCGCAGGAGACTCGGGCATTGTGCTTCCTTGACGTTTCTTTGCGTTTTTACAAAATACTACCAACACCCAGTGACTGCGCACCCTCGGGGTCGCGAACGCGCTCCGCTCGGGGCCTGAGCTTCTGAGCTTCCGGTGGGCGCCGCTCTCCGACTCCTCCACCGCGGGATCCCGCCTGCGGCTCTCGCCCGGCTGCGAAACGCTTGCCTTCTTGGTGAGAGTATTATAAGCAGCTAAATTAGATAAAAAATAATAGACAGTCACAGAGGGACTGGGCTGTCAAGGAAGTCAGCAGAGAAATGAAGACATCAGAATTGTGGCTGGAAGCGCATCTGAAAGCCAGACCAGGTCTCAAAGATGCAAGGGCCAGGCCTACACGCCTCCCTACGCGGTAAGCAGTTAACTGGGATAATGCTCTAATTAGCGCCACCTCGTCCACGAAGTCCGCTCAGGTGGGTGACCAGAGCCTCTGGACCCCTTCCTTCCCCAAATGCCTTTGTTCTTTCCTTGTACCCCCGCTAAGTGACCCGCTTCCCTATTGGATCAATATAAGCTAAGCAGCTATACTCGAAATCCTATAGGTTGATTGCAGTTGCACCCACATTGTGACTTTGCTGTGTAAATTACCCCTGACAAAGGGCCGCCTCGGTGGTAACTCAGGACCCCTTCTGTCTCTTAGGAGCTATTCCCATTCCCCAATAAACCTTTCCTACCCTTAACCTCCCTTGTCCTTTGGAATTCATTCTTGGATTTCAGAGGACTAGAACTGGGCACATCTGATATCCTGCAGGTTGGGAGTTGTAATTTCTGCTATATCAGTGTGACCTTTTGTGTCTGATTTCTTTCACTTAACATAATGTTTTTGGGATTCATCCAAGTTGCAGCACGTTAGTACCTCATTCCTTTTTATGGCTGAATAATATTCCGCCACGCGGTTATGCTGTTATTAGTTTATCCATTAATCTATTGGCGGACATTTGGGCTCTTTCCATCTCTTGGCTGTTACAAAGAACACTTGTGTTCCAGTTTCTGTGTGGAACATATGTTAATTTCTCTGGTGCATACCAAGGAGTGGAATTTTGAATAACATAAAAAAATCTTTGATTTTTTTTTTTTTTTTTTTGTACCAGGGCTTGGACATCAGGACCTTGTGCTTGCAAGGCAGGCTCGGTGCCACTGAGCTAAATCTCCAGTCCAAAATCTTTGAGTGTTTTGAGGGACTGTCAAACACTTTTCCATGTGGCTGTATCATTTCAGATTCCTCTAGGAAGGCACAAGTGTTCCAATTTTGCCATATCCTTGCCAACACTAATTTTCCATTTAAAAATAATCATAGGCAATATTTCAATAAATTGAACTATTATTAACACCTTATGTCATTAAAGATATTTTGAAATTGCCACTTGAATAGCCATTTTCCATCTTTTGATTTCACAATTTATCAAAATGTTTTTTTTGACATTGTTTATATCCAAATTTTCAATATAAATATGCTACCATGAATGTTCTTAAGCCTACATCTTTCCCTTGTATTTGTTTACTTCTATAGAGTATATTTTAAAAGTGTAATTGCTTGGGCAAATAGCATGAGCATTTCAGCATTAATAAAAGTTGTCAAACCACTTCCCAGAAGCATACCAAATTCTGTCATAGCATTCACAGAGTATATTTTTACTTCAAAGAATCTATTAATATGATGGGCAAAAAAATGGCATTTTATTTGGGACTTGCACCTTGTGGGGGGGATGGAACCCAAGATCTTTGCTGACCTATCTCCCAGTCATTCGCACTGCTTTACCAATGCAGTGAATCTTTTTTAAGTGCATTGTTCATTTGCATTTCTTTTATGAATTATGTTTTTTATCTGTATTTTGTTTTGAGACAGGATCTCACTATGTAGTCCAGGCTGGCCTTGAACTTGAGGTTGTCCACCTGCCTCAGCCTCCAGAGTGATTACAGGTGTGCATCACCACGTCTCACCTCCCTGAGGATGCTTCTTATAGTTTAAGTCTAGGGCAACAAAACTGCACAGCCAGTATACACGGAATGCTGCTTAGGAAAAAGCAAGGCTCTTGGTTCCCTCAAGTCCCTTTGGGAACGACCCCGTGAAGCTTGGATAGTAAAAGGATGGGTCACTTTAAACATCCACTTAATCCCCCCCTGCTGGGTATGGTGGTGTATGATTCCAACACTCCACAGGCCAAGGCAGGATTGTGATTTTTGAGACCAGCCTGAGGTACACAGCAAGTTCAAGGCCAGGCTAGGGTATACAGCAAGACCCTGTCTACTCACACACATGCCCAACAATAGAAACAAAACAAATTCCGTTCAGTGTGATAAAACTTTAAAATGCTTAGAAGACTTTCAAGCATAGAAACATCTGACAGCTGGGGCATTCTGGAATAGGGCAGGGCAGGCATGCCTGTGGGAAATGGTCCTCCCTAGGGTGGTGGCACTTGGAGAACGTAGCAGCAGAGCACAGGTGTGAGCCCAGCAAGTTTCTATCTGCAGTACGGCGGGCTGTCCTGTTTTCTAAAACTGAAGGTGTGGACTGGGCAGAGAAAAACAGAGTACAGAAACTTGCTCTGAGACCTAAGAAAAACGGGGTGTTCAGAAACGAGTTGTGTTCTATTTTCAGCCCATTCAAGAGTTGCTAACTAGTAAGAGACACATACTCAAAAGTGCCCTTTAGTCTGATGTGTTATCTGTGGAACTCCAACTGTGAAGTTACCACTTCCAGATGTAGCTGTGAAGTGCCAGCTTCCTTCCAGCAACACCCTCAGCATAACAGTGCAGTCACCCCACCTGTCAGTACTGCTGGGATACACTCTGGGGTGCAGACTGCTTTAATTTTCAAGCTCAGCACAGACTCCTGTTTGTTGACAGCTCTGCAGAAACAAAGTTTCTGGAGGTCTGGCTTTACTTTAATGGACAGTGGGCACTGTGCTGGATTACTTTGATAGGAAAGTCTGGAGGTCAGAAAACAACTGAATAAAGCCAATTGAGGTGTCAGTGTCCCTGGGAGAGGCTGTGAAGACCTTGATTACTTAAGTTGGACCCAAGGATAGTAACTTAAAAGTTAAAGAACATAACATAAATCGTGTGCACACATTTGAAGCCAACCTAATATTCCTGGCATTCTCAGGATTGCTAGATTCAAAACTCAGCCCAGTAGCCTTGGACCCCTTGGACTTGTCACTTTGGGATGGAGCCTTATCATCTTACTCGTCCTGGGCTGTGCAAACTTGGGCTCACCTAGTCCCTTTCTCTTAATTTGCCCCAAATACAGGATAGTTACAAGGATTCACTGGGGAGAGCTCATCCTGTCTGTGCCCAAATGCTGAGAACAGAGGAAATGGAACCCATCCATCCTGGGACCCTTGGACATTCCAGCCTATCAGGCTTACAGTTGGCCTGGGCCAGGATGGACTTCTCCTTGGGAAGGACAGTCATTGGCCAACTGCCACTAGGAGAGCAAGGCATCTCCCGGCATGGGCTATTTACTTCCCCAGAGGGGAAAAGCATGAGATGCCAAGCTGGGCATGGTAGCACACACCATGGTGGTGGCACAGACCTTTTCTTTAATATTTGAGTACATTATGGAATTTTTCTGTTGTATTAGCAATTGAGCCTAGGGCCTTTTCACTGAGTTACATCCTTACCCCTATTTGTCCGAGACAGATCTCACTAAATTGTCCAGGCTAGGCTTGAATTACACTTGTAATTCCAGCACTGGGTGTGGCTGAGGCAGGAGTATTTCTAAATTTGAGGCCAGCCTGGGCTACACAGTTAGAGCTTGTCTCAAAATAAGGCATCAGATGCCAGTCTTCACAATCTCACTTTGGACCAAGGTTTCCATACTTGTTTCTTTATAACCTTGGTGCTGGAAATGGGGTATTCCCCAGGAGAGGGAAAGTGGTAACAGGCCACATCTCTGCTTATCGCTCTGGTTTTATGAGGGAGCCAGGTATCAGCCCATGGGCTACAGTGGCACCTGTGGCACTGCTTACATCAGAGACACTCCAGGGAAGAAACTTGGGGTGAGAACTGAAACAACAGCAGTTACTACTTCTGTCTCAATTCAAAATTAATGACAGGGTGCTAAGCCCTGCACTCATGTCTCTTGGTAGTTTTTACTTACTGCCTTATAAAGTGAACCAATTAATAAACTAAGGTCCAGCCAAGGGAAGGACACTACTAATCACTGGCCAAGGATTCTCAGAAGACTCCCAGTGCCTGCTTTTCCAATCATAAAACATTTAAGCTGCCAGGTGTGATGCGGCATGCCTGTAATCCCAGCACTTGGAAGGCTGAGGCAGAAAGGACCACCATGAGTCTGAGGCCAGCCTGGCCTACAAAGCTGAAGGCTAGCCTGGAACACATGGTAGACCCTGTCTCAAAAACCGAACAAAACACAACACTCAAACTATCTAGGCAAATCATGGAACACAAATCAGTTTTAAGTGATAATCGGGAGCAGAAGGGAGCCTGATTTTGAATGATGGATATGGATATGGATTTTCCGGGCCTAATGATCCCCAGGGGTGCTGCGGTCCACTCTGCTGTCCCATCCCATGGCTATGGGAATTGTACAAGGAAGCAGAGAGGAGAGCTAGGAATCCAATCTGTGCCCTTTATTCCACTCAGACCCCCCACCCCAGCCCTGACTCCGGGCCCCAGCAGGCTGATGGGAGGCTCTGGTGGCCTGAGGCACAGTGACGAGCTGTGCTCTCCAAGTGGATGGCGGAGTGGGTAGTGGAGACGTCAGAGCCTTCCTGAGGGCAAAGGAGAGCTGAAGCAGGCATCTAATGGAGGGGGACAGCGAGGACCCTGCAGCACCTGTCCTGGGTGTTTGAGGTAACACATTTCCACTCGGCCCCACGTCTACACCCAGGCAGAAGGGTAGAGGGAAAGCTGCCATTGGCCACTGTCATGCTGGATCCTTCTGGAGGTCCCTTCCTTTTTCTGCTGTGGCTAAATTTATGACCAAGAATAAGGAGGCTGAAAAGTATGCTGTCTCATCGTTTTGGAGATGAGCTGCTGGGACGAGACAGAAGGAAGTGGAGAGGAGGCAAAAGAGGACTTGAGAGGCCGCCAGCCTAGCACTCAGGCTGGGGCTGTGCACCTGGGCCTGAGAAGGAGCCAGTGGCCTTTGGGTGGGAGGCCCAGACCTCTGGCCAACTGCCCACTCACAACTGAGAGAGAGATGGAACTCAGGTACCAAAGCAACAGAGCTGCACCCTCTATCCCCCAGCCTCAGCCAGCCTGCCTAAGACAGGGACCGGTGCCCGGCAGCAGGGCCTATTGCTGGGATATCATGGTGAGTGCCCAGTCCAAGAAAGCCACTGTGACGTCCTGTAGGCAGAGCCAGGTCCAGCGGGCAGCCTTGCTGAGCTGTGTCTTCATGCAATCCCAGGTCACCTCACCTCTGGGAGAAAAGCAGAACATTTTAAAGGGAGGGCTGTGTGTGCAAGGTGGCAGCATGGACCCACAAGCCTCACCCAAAGGGGCCAGGGATGGGTGAGACTGAACACAAAGCCTGGCCAGGGGACAGGGAGTGAGGCCACAGAGATCCACTGTGCCAGCGCCCTGGGGGAAGGCCTTACCTGCACGCCTCATGGCAGTGCTCCTGGGCCCAGGCCAGGGACTCAAGCAGCAGGTGCCATGCTGGCAGCAGCACACTGTGGTGCAGAAGCAGGAGCAGGTCCCTCAGGTAATGCAGCAGCTGGTGCAGAGCATCAGGGAGCTGCACCTGCAGGTAGACCACAGGGGATGGCTGGGTCAGGGTGCCTGGGCCCCCGGGATTCCATCGGCTGGAGACCAGCCCTTTTCCGACTCAGCTTCCAGCTTACCCTCTGAGAGACACTAGCAAGGCTGTCACTGAACCAGGCCAGGTGGGAGGCACAGTGGGTAGAGAGGAAGCTGACCGTGGAACTGATGTAGGCCCAGGCCAGTTGTAAGCTGGGCGACACCACAGTAAGCAGGTAGGAGCCGCAGGCTGGCAATGTCTCTTCTAACCAGCTGTAGAGGTCAGAGGGGAGAAGGCAGGGCTCTGAGCTTTCTCTAGCCAGCTTGGCTACCAAAGAGCCAGGAAAGTGAGGCCATGGGGAAGGACAACCACAAGCACTTCCCAGTGACTGCCAATGTCTGCACCACCCTGCACCCCAAGGCTTTGCTCTCAGCCTTCCTCTCCTGCCTGGGGGCGGCTTACCTGTAGCCCTGCAAGCCAGAGTAGTAGAGCTTGGCACACACTTGCTGGCCAGCAGGCAAGAGACCAGACGACAGAAGCACCCGGCCGGCGAGGGAGGCTGAGTAAGGAGGCTCTGATGAGCTGGGGCAAGGGTGCAGACTCGGGAGACAGACATGCAGGTTCCCGGGAGACAGGGCGGAGGGCAGAAGTGTATGCGCTCATGGATCACAGAGCCAGCTTGGTGTGTCCACAGCAGGCTCAGGAGAGGCACGCGGGCCTAAGGGGCTGAATGCCTCCTCCTGGCCAGGTAAGCAGGACGAACAGGACACAAGGTGGAGTCCTGGACTTGGGTGCTGGGAAGCTTCCAGTTCTGAGTCTACCCTCTGCTTACTAGCTGTGACCTTATGCTAACTGCACAGTCTTTCTGAGCCTCCAGTGCTCTGGGAGGCAACACTTCCTTGCATGGTATCATGTATATGTAAGCACTTCTATGCTACAAAGTTAACAGTCCAATCTGTGGGTCATATGCGACCTGTGGATAGAAGAGCCTATCTCAACAGGATTTATTCTGTGGCCCTGAGAACTCAGCATTATGAACATGAGTACTGGGGATGCAGGTTATACCTAGCTCTGTGCCCCCTATTCTGCTCCCTGCATGGCTGCCATCACTGCTTACCCTGGAAGGAGCCATGTGACCAGAAGTCGTGGCACAGGAGTCCCACAGCAAAGACAGGCAGCAACAACAGCAGCCAGGTCCAGAGCGGCCGGGGGCCCCGGGCCTGCTGCAGCAAGTGCTGGTTGGAAAGGGAAGAGTTGTGCTCAGAGGGGCCCAGTGGTGTACACCTGCAATCTTGGCACTCTGGGAGACCGAGGCAGGAGGATTCCAAATCTGAGACCACCTTGGCTCTCAAGTGATTCAGAGAGACTGTCTCAAAGTAAAAGTCTTTTAAAAAGGGACACGGATGCAGCAAAGGACCTGGCTTCAATCCTCCATGCTGGGGGATGGGGGCTGACTGGACCTGCCATGGTGAGCCCTGGCAGGGAGGTGCGACACAGTGGTCAGAAGAGAGAGGGAGGCTTGAGCCAGGCCTTCCAGGGAGCAGGCCGAGCCTGCACACCAATGCTGAGGCAGAGGGGGCTCCACACGCAGGTAGGGCAGGGCTGTGACCCTGGCCCAAGCCGGAAGTGCAAGACAGATGCAGGATCCCATACAGGTTACAGAGGCCAGGTGCCTCACCTTGCAAGCTGTGTCACAGGTGGCCACTTGCTGGGTGCTCCCGCTGCCCCTCTTCAGCAGCTCCTGGTTGGTAAGCTTGAAGGACTGAATGGTTTCTTGCAAAGACATCTGCATCTGTAGGACACCAAAAGCTGGGTTAAGAACACGAGACCAGGAATCCAGAGCCTCCGCCCTGCTTCATTTCCATACCAAGCTCACAGGGAAAGGAGGACAGAGGCTGAGGGGCAGGAGCCCAGAGCCTGGCCAAGGCCCAGCCTGCCTGTCCTCCAGCTCCTCACCTTCTTGGGGATCTGCTCCCAGGACCTGAGCAGGTGCTCCAGCAGCAGGCTGTGGGGAAGCACAGCCCTCCATCAGGCAACCTGCTTACTCGACCCTCCTGCTCTCCTGCCCCGCTCCTGCTCTCCTCCACCAGCCTGGCGCTCTCTACCCCTGCCCCCAGAGACCCTGTAGGCAATGTTCCCACTGAAGCTGAGAGGCTTGAGACCACAGAAGAGCCACCAAGGTTCCCTCTGCTTCCAGGACAGGGACGGCCAGCCTCAGGCTGGGACAGAGGAGCTGCTCTGTCTGTGTAGCGCAGAGGCTGGTGACCCTACCCCAACTTGCCTGGACTGTGACAGGTGCTTGGGGTACAGCTGCCTCCAGGCATTGGTGCTGAGGGGATCCACAGTTAGGCATTGGGTAAGGCTGCCCAGGAGCTGCTCAGGGAACAGGAGAGACTGCTGGGGGCTTGGTGCTGGAGGAGAGGGCAAATACAGAGGCCACCAGGGCAACCATTCACCCCAAGGGCAGAGAAATAGCATCAGGACCTGAAAGCTGAGAGGCTGCCAAGCGGGAGGGGCTCTGAGTTAAGAATGTCAGCTCTAGGACCACAAGTCCATGAGAGTGACAGGGCACCAGAGGCCCCGAGGCCTGCATGTACTGCCCTTCAGGCCTCGCTCCTGAGGGCAGAGCAGCAGTGAGCAGGGCAGGGTGCTATGAGAGAGCTAAGTGGGGGCCAGGGAAAGTCTGCCACCAGTTCCTCACCTCTTTCTTCATCTCAGAGGGACAGCGAGGGGTGACTCTGGACAGGAAGGAAGGGAAGTAGATGTGTAGGGTGGATTCTGGCTTTGCTCCAAATGCCAGTATCTTCAGTCTGGGATAGACCTGACACAGCTGCTCCTGCAGGCTGGGGAGGGATGAAGAGACCTGTACTGGCTGTGCCTGGAGTTGCACCTCCAAACTTTTTCCTGCCTCAGGGCCAAAGCCCTGCCTCATGGGAGAGTCCCTGAGGGCCTCTTGATGGCTCTCTTTTAACTGAGAGGCCTCTCAGGAAATCTGATGAGAGTTATGTAACTTCTCCTTAAGAAAATATCCACATGCCAATCACACTCAAGAATTCATATACATCAAGGGTCCACTGAAACCCATCTGGAACTTCTAAGTTGCAATCCAGATCCAGGTGGCGGGGTGGGACAGGGGAATACAGTGCCTGGATCAGTGCCTGAGCTTGCAGGTGCGCTCTGGATCAGTCTTACCTGGGTGTCAGGGAATTGTTGGGCATATAGGCGAAATCCAGGAGTGGGAATAAGTCCTTGGGGCCAATCATGCCGAAGCCCTTGGTAAGGTTGGGGTGCATCCTGTGGAAGGAAGAAACAGGCTTGCTGGAGATCCGCACCCAGGCCAGCTGTTTTGGCCATGAACCCAGCCAAGCCCACATATAGGAAAGAGAATATAAACACTACTCAACCCTCCAGCCATTGATGGGTTCCTCCCCTTCCTTCCTCACCAGCACATTCAGAGGTGGGAGGAGCTGGTCCTGATTTTCCCTTTTTGCCGAAACAGCCTCGTGTGGACACCCTGGGCCTTCCCCTTGCTGTCCCCCCATTACTCACTGGAGCAGCCGATCCAGGTATGCGATGGCAAAGGAAGACAGAGACTTGATGCCCAGCACAGGCAGCATGATCCCTAGCCACACTGCAGAGACAGAAGCCAGGGAGGAAGCCTTAGGCCTGACTGCAAGGGACGTCAAAGGGGAGTGTCCCGGATCTGGGATGGTTCCCTTATTCCCACTTCCTTAGTACCTTTCAGTCCCTCGGTGAGGCTGGCAAAACCTGCTTGCCCCACAGCCCACAAGATGGTCAGGCACTTTGCTGGTCGGTTCTGATGGGACCTCAACAGTTCCAGGAACTGAGGAGACAAGTGGGGAGGACAGGCCGGGATAGGGCAAAGCTCTGGAGCACCTTAGAGCCAAGTGGGAAGAGTGACATCAAGTGGGAGAGGAGGGGTAGGCTGAGTGGCAGTGGGGCACGATGGCAGCATGGCGCAGTCATTCAGAGCAGGGTGTCACTCCACTCCAGCACCTACTGGCGGATCACCCCTAGGAAACTATGAAGCCCCATTGTGGCCCAGTCTTTCCACAGACAAAATGGGAACAGGAGTCCATGCCTCACATATATCCAAAGCAGACGCACAGCAAGAGCTAACAGTGTTATGTAGAATTTCTGGTGTTAAGTCTTCTACCTTCCCATGACTGGGCCCAGCCAATGTAGATTCTTCCCAGCCTCCCCAGTCCTAGTTGTGGGGTCCACACCATTGCATTCATGGCTTACTTTGCCCAGGTTTGTGGTGACAATCTTGGGCTTGTCCTGCAGAATGGCCTGGATACAGATGCGGTAACCGTGTAGTGACTCCCCTAAAGAAATTCATGTTCTCAGACCTATTCACACTACTTGGCATCCCAAACCCGCTGTTTCCTTTTATGGCAACTGTGAACCTAGAACCCAGCCATTGAGTCCTAACCTCTTCTTCCCTTTCCAGATAATATTGAGATTAGCACATTTCTAAGACCTTATTCTCCACCAGCTCCTCTTACCTGATGTCTTATCTAGCTCTTGTAGCATGGTGAACAGACAATGGTCAAAAAAGAGCTCCAGAGATACTGCTGCCTTCGTCAGGAGCCCTCGGATGATCCCATGAAGCTCCCGGCTCACCAGACTGTAGGGATAATCTGGGGCCATTGGCCTCCACATGAGCCTAGCACCAGGTACCCCTGCCTATCTGAATGGAGGCAGAGGTTCCTGCATTAAGACTGGCATCCTCCCTCTCCCAAGGAAGTCCCAGGCCCATGTAAACCAGGACAGTGAGAAGCATAGGAACAAACACCCCTTTTACAATTTCCATGACCTTATTTGAGCTGAGGGAGGTGGGAAGACTAACCATGAGGATGGTGGCTGAGCGTGGGTTCGCTCCGAGGAGCCTGGAGCTTGTAGTTGAGATAGCTGGCCAGGTCCTTCAACCACACGGAGGGGTTTCCAGTGAACACGCTCTGGCTCTTGTCCAGTTCCTTCTGCAGAGCCGCCACATCCAGCTGCCAGAGACACACCTCTGTGGTGAGTTGTGAGCAACCGGAAGGGAAAGCGGGTAGGTGTGGGGAAACAGCTGAACAAGCGGTGGTAGAAGAAGTAAGGCTTTCTGTTTTTAAGGAAAGTATGTAGAAAGGAACACTGCATCCAGACCTTGCGAAAGTTAAGAACAGGACAGCTGAGAATGCTGTTCTCTTGGGCCTATGTTTGTAGGACCATCACATGTTCAAAAGGAAAAAAACAAAGGAGAAGAATGATGAAAGATCACTGCTTCTGAGGGACAGGGAACCATAACCAGCTTTTCTGTCCCCTCCCTCATGTCCCTGGATCGTCCACACTTTCTTCTTGATAATGTGTTTCCCTAGACATTTTCTATTCCCATTCTCTAAATGCAAACATTCTGCTCTGCTGCTGTTTCCACCTTTTCCTGATCTTTTCAACCAAAGCGTTGCAGATCCCATAGGTCCCTCAGCTGTCTCTCCCCCCACCTCATCTTCTAAGCCCCTGATCTTCCTATGCCTCAAGTCTAGGTACACTCACTGCTTTCAGGGCCTCCTCCAGGCTGCGGAAGCAGCCCTGCTTCTGACTGTGGCTGGTAAGGGTTGCCACCTTCTTTGGTTGCTTCTTATTTGCTGGCTTCTTAGGCTCCAGAGCAGGAGGTGGAACCTGTTCCTTATTTTGTCGCTTCATGATTTTTTCAAAGCCCCGCTCATAAAGGGTGCTTGTGGTCTGGATTGGAGCTAGGGTAAAGACAGGTAGAGAAAGAGGGCTATCCTTAAGTCACCAAGGTCTCACAGGAATAGTGGGCCAAATAGGCTGGCTTTGAACTCCCAGTGATCCTCCTGGCTCTGCTTCCCCAGTGCTGGGATCACAGGCACGTGTCACACCATTCCTGGTTCAAAGCCCCTTCCTGTAGGCTATTTAGGAGCAGGGCAGGGAGTTCTCAAGGTGGCTGCTTTCAGTCATCACAGGGCCAGTCCATGGCTCTTGCACAGGGACAGGGCAGTTATTTCACAAATCAAAAAATGTGGGAACTAACAGAGTGTGGATACAGAGGACTGGCTTCTTTGGTGCATGGCTATCAGTCTGGGAGGACAGGTTTTTGTTTTTTTTTTGTCCCCCCACATTGAAGTGACAACTCTATAATCAACAAGTGGCCAGCTTTCACCCTTCCCCGGGAGACTGAGGGCACAGCTGCCACCAAGACGAACTCCTGGTGGACCTGAGCACGGCGGGCCATTTCTCCCAGGGCTGCGCCTCCTGCCCGTCCCTCCCCGACCTGCTGGTGACTTAAGGACTGGACGCTGCGGGATCCAGCACGCCTCAGCTCTGCGCTCAGGGCCCTGCCCGAGTCCGGATGGTGCCGGGACAGGTGGGACGGCCGAGCGCCGCGGCCTGAGCAGCCGGAGTCCAGCGCTGCAGTCCCTTCCGACACGCGACGTC